CATTTGACCTTTGTAGTTGCTAAATTCGACCCTATAAGCTACTCAGATCGTGATCTTCTTCCCTATTCAGATCGCGATCTTCTTCCCCATTTTTCCTTCCTCTCTCTCAACCGCTTTGATCTCTCTCTCTCTCTGGTTCATTGGAACCCGCCGCCGGCATTTCCACTGTAGCTCATTTGTCGTCATCCTTCCATTCATGAAAATATTGTGTCCTCACTAAAATTCGATCCTATCATGCTCAGATCGCTCATTTGCCGTCACCATCATCATTCTCTCGACGCAAAAATTGTGTCATCACGAAAATTCAACCCTATAAGCTGCTCAAGTCACGATCTTCTTCCCCATTGTCTCTCTCTCTCTCTCCGTTTCCCTCCGGTTTCTCTGCAATTTCCTTTTTTTTTTTTTTTAAAAAAAAGAAAAAAAAATTGTAGAAGCCCCTAATTTAGAGTGGCCCGTTTTTTTTTTTTTTTTTTTTTTTTTTTTTTTTTTTTTTTTTTTTGTGGGGCTTAGAGTGACCCAATTTGTAAAAAATAAATATTTGTTGTTTTTAGAGTGACCCAATTTGTAAAAAATAAATATGGAAATATGGGTAAAAAATATAGGACTAGAATTTTAACGAAACTTAATATGGGGAAATTTTAGGGTCTATACATTGTTGTTAAAAGTGTTTGGAAGGCGTAGGTTTATGAACCCAAAACGTCCATTTTGCAATAGACAAGGGTAAAAATGTAAATTTTTCATACTCATTGCATTTTCATGGCATAAACCTTTATATATTGGCTGATTATAAGCTTAATTTATTAGAAGGTGTGAGTTAAGTGGAAGAGAAATTGGGCTTCCAGAGACTCAAATTTTTAAAGATAAATTCTCTTTGTACCCCTAACATTTATAAATACACGCAACTAAATTATAATCTACATTTCTTGTAGTTTTAATTACCTTACAATGAAATTATGTTAAAGATGACATCTTTTAATATATAAATCATATAAGCTACAAGTAGAAATATTGGTTGACTTTTCGTATAATAATGCGTAAGAGACACTATTTATGGCTTCCAAAATCATTTTCTTTATAAAAACTTTATGGGTATTCAATTGTAATATTTACGTTCCTCTAAACAAAAACGTGATATTTATGTTGAAAAATGTTCCAAATCTCACTTGTTGTTCTATGCTCGTATAACGTAAGTGGTTTTTCTTCTTAGGCCCTGTTCATTTCACTGATTCGAGTTTAGAATTTAAGTTTTGCTACAGTAAAAAGCTCTCACAAATAATTACATCTAACTTTTTTTCTACAGTAAAAATCTCTCACATAAAATCACATGTAACTAGTGTTTTTTGTTTTTTGTTTTTGTTTTTTGAGAATGAGAAAAACATTATTATTGTTAAGATTTGTTAATTATTTCTTTATAAACAAGATAAATTAAAATATAAGTGGGGTGGGTGTGGGTGTATGAGGGCGCCAAATTTGGAAACATACAAAAATATCTATAAAAGGATAGATCTTTTAAATATATATTAGGAATTGTATTAATTAATTTGGTGTTTTATAAAATTTACAGGTACCACTCATTGCTAAAATGTACTAAGCTTTCCATCATTTACTCTTGATTAATAAGTTTTTTAGTCAAATAACTATACTAACAAAAAGGTATTAATCAAGAATGATAAGTAAAAATTCAGACTCATTCACTCTTAAGGATAAATTCAAAAAAAATAGATCACACATTTAATTGTTGTCCACACCACTTTCTAGAAAGATTGCTTGTCTTAACCACTGTTTTTTTCTTCCTTTAATAGCTGAAATTTTCATGAATTGTTACATTAATATTACCCTTAAATCACTAGTTTATTTACTGACTAAACTATTAATTTACTTTTAAGTAGGATATTATAAGAAATACGAGTTAAATGTAAAATTCACTTCCGGCATTGGAGATTGCGACATCGGCAATGGTAGCCGTGACAATGATTACAAAAGGTGGCGGAGGAGATTGAAACGATGGCGACGATCCTTTGTGGTGTCAAATCCAGCGTCGGAGTTCATTAAACCAAATTCGGCCGCTGATCGTGTTGTGACAACAACATTGTGGTGTCAAATCTGCGAAGATCATTGATCAAGAATTCGACTATGGCGTCCACGTAACGTGGGCAAGTATCGATGGAGATTGATGCAGCTGCAAGTGCAGGAATCTGAGCTGCAGAGGTTGCACGTTGAGATCTTTTGCAAAGTTTATGATGATGTTTGAAGATGGCAGGTGTTGTAGTGAGAGGAGAAAATGGTAGAAGAGAGAGAAAGTAAGGGATCTCTGGGAAGAGAGGGAAACTGAGAGATGAGAGTGAGGATCAAGCTTTAGATTATGTTCTTAAAATTTGTTTTTCCTGGAAGAGGATCAAGATTTCAAAAGGATCCAAGGAGCTTCAGGAATCAAAGAAGAGAAGAAAGTCCCACCTTGAGCAATTAGGAATAAAGTTTTAACTTTTGAAGAAAAGTTTGTATCCTTGGTGTCATTATGTTGGAAAATGAAACTCTTTATGGATATTGAGATCTTTGGAAATATGTTAGATCTATAATGTTTATATTGATGATGACTATGTGATGGTATTTAGTTATAAAGTGTGAGCTTCAGTTGGATTAAGTCTAAATCATGAAACTTGGTGAAACTCAGTTAAGGTTTTTCTTAGAAAATGCAAAACTTTATGTACATATGGCATAAGATTTATAACTTGGCATGAAAATAAGTTTATATGACACGACTATTTAGACTATCTCCTTACTTTTAGTAAAGTCATTAGGTTTGAATTTTTCAGACTTAAAGAAACCAGCAAGAAAATAAAACCATGATAAAATGGTCCTTTTGACGTAAAAACGTGTCTATGTGTAAACGAGTTAATGAACTGCCGAATTAGCTCTTGATCAAAACAGAAAAGTTTTAGATCTCAGTTAGTGGAACGAATAAGGAATTTTCTCCAAATTCGGCAGTTCTCGTTCATATTTCCTAATATTCCGACGCTCTCAATGATTTGCTCCTCTGCACCCTTGATGATTATTGCTCATGCACTTTCGACGATTGTCCTCGCTATGCAACTGTCTCCATTTGTCTTTGTTTTCTAAAAAATTCAAAAAATTTATCTTTGTTTTCTTAAAAATTAAAAAAAAGTGATAAGTCAAAGAGAAAAGAGCCTCAAAGTATTTAGAGTCATCAATACTGGTTTGTTCTATTACATTTCAAGATTAGAATCCCCCATTGGAGCTCCATTTTTAGGGACATATCAGGAAAATTTAATATTTTGTATATAGTTATCTTTGTTAGTAGTTTGAATTTATTTGTAGCAATTTGCAAATTAGACAATTTCTTGATTTTAGGAGATTTAACAATATACGTTAATTCACTAGATTTTATAATTACAATTTGTACTTACGTGCAATTCATTGGTAGTTCATTTTACTACTGAAGTCTCTATATTTTTCTAATATGTTTATATATGTACATTATGCATTATCATTAAATCTTTATTTTTTTTTCTTTTATCTTCCTGTTTAGTTTTGGTGGCCGGGATTTTGTTTTAGTTTTTAATTTTCTTTTCAGTTTTGGTTTTTTTTTTTTTTTTTTTTTTTTTTTTTTTTTTTTTCCTACTGATCGATAGGTGTGCCTGAACAAAATCTAGTTGGTCCGATTTTATGCGTTCGCTTTATTGATTAGTTTTATATAAGAATGTTAAACCATAAAGCAATAAGAAGACACATAAAAACTCTGACAAAATAAGAATTAGATTAATAATTAATGCAGGCGTGGGCCACGTTTATCGAGATTATCTCAAGGGAGTAGGTGGAGTTGTCAGCTACGTGCCAAGGGATCGACGTAACTCACCTCTATATTCATAAATATTCATAATATTTATATAGTGGACGGATTTTTAATGATTATATTTATATAGATACTTATTATTAAATGTATAAATTTAATGACATGTTGTGATAAAAATTTTATTTTATTTATTGTTATACAAATTTAGTTAAATATTTAATTTATTATAATAATTAGATTAATATCTTACGGTTAAAATAATAATGTCAAAGTCTTTAATTTGGCATATTTATGGACTAAGGCTGGACAACCAAACCAAACCTAGGTGTAACACAGCCAAACTAATTATAGATGGGTTTGGAGATTTTGAAATCCAACCAAACCATTGAAAATACCCTATTTATAATCCTTTTCTCAACCATAATTACAACGAACATTTGATTCTTTTAGGGAAATGATTTTTTGACTTTTTCAAAAATAGAAAATAATATAATTAACTATATTCTTAAAAATATGTTAAATAAATAATAAAAATTAACTAGTTTTTCTTGGCTGGTGCAACACGAGTAGAGGCGGTTCCGAAACATTAAGTGCATGTTTGGTTTGAGAGTTCAAGTTAATTTAGTTTTGATTCAAATAATATTTTCTCTAACAAAAATTTTAAATTTAAAAAGTTATGCTATAGTGTTTTTTCTCATAAAATTTAAATTATAGTTCAAACCACATAGTTTGTACTCTCAAACCAAATAAGCAATAAATTCCGTAGAAAATGGAAGTGACTTTGTTGCCACGCATCATTGTAAGGGAGTATTTAATCTGAATTTGTTTCATAGAAAATGTCGTTTGTGGCAGAAGGATTATTCTTATAGACTGAACGACTAAAAAAGGTAATAGAAGATAAATTATGTAATGTCAAACCTGGCCAAACACAAGAGTAGATCGAATTAAATGGAGATGTGCATAATAATGCAAGAAGAAAACATAATCGATATTCTTTTTATATTTTGTATAGTATTTATACATTTGTTTTTGTTTTTAAAGTACAACATTTTCCTAAACATTCTATATGAGAAATGATAATAAAATTAATATAAAATCGAATCAAAACTCATTGGCCAATTCTTTCGAAAAGATAAAAGAAAAATATGTGTAAATTGGAAATTATCATTTTATCATATATGTGCTTGGCTCATGCCTTGGAAGGTAGTGGAATCCACCTACGGTATTCTGCAAGCGCCCAAAGTGGGTAGATGTTTCTATATGCTGCATAATGTAGCATACAATTCCTATTGAAAACTCCCGTTATTTCCTGCCATAATAAATTGGTTGAAGAACTATTTCATAAGTAAACAATTGAAAAGATAATAATAAAAAAAAATTTCAAGGCAAAAAGAAAATGAGGTTATCTTACCTCTTGTGGAAAATCACCATTGTCCATTTGAGAATTAATGATCAACTTTGCCGCACGATGAAGAGGATTTGGATCTCTTTCTTCTTGGCCAGCATGTATTAGGCTCATCATCGCCCATGCAGTCTGTACTAAATTAGATCGATTTCCTTCTAAAGGTACAAATTCCTTCATAACCAAATACAAAAATAATTATCCGTTTAGTTCTTAGGTTTGAATAGAAAAATTTTAAGAAAAATTTAAATTTTGTGAAGGAAAACACTATAGCAAAAAGATTTAAACAGTAGTTACAAACAGTAATCTTTCGTTTAAGGAGCACAACTTATTATATAATCAAAATTCATATGAAAAATAAGTGCTCCAATTTGTTACTAAATAAGAGCGTTGTAAGAAAAACTTTTTATATGTAAAAAAACCATTTAATTAATAATCTATTTATTATGTAGGTATTTTTCTACTTCGACATTTCTACTTTACAGTTTGCAAAATATGGATGAGTTTGGAATTGCGTCTACAACTTTTAAAAGTACTTTGTACAATATAAATGATGTAACTATGGTGTTTGGTAAAATGTTACAAAAAGTACACACTTCACACAAAATCTTATACACTTTCTAAATTATTTATTAAAAGTGGTACGTATAGCTTTCAGATTCTACTTCTACTTTTGTTTTCAGTAAAACTAGTTCTTGTTACCTTGTTTGGGCATGAAAGATAGCTCTCACCCCAACCCCCATCATTTCTTTGTGTTGTGAGTAAAAATTCAACTGCTTTTCGAGTGGCAGAATTGTTATTGTATGTCTTGCCAGTAGCTGCTAGTCCTCCCAAAGCAAACCATGTGGCATATGTAAAGCAAACTCCCCAATTGCCGTACCTATAAAATATAACATATTATAATTAAAATATGTTCAATAAGTTAGTTTCATTGCCATGTAAGTACAGAAAAGGGTACCATGAGCCATTTGGCATTTGTATGTCCTGTAGGAACCCAACAGCATTTGTTATAAAAGTTTCAATTTCGATATTTCTGTGTCTAGGGTACAACTTCTTGAACAAAACCAGAGCTTGGATTGCTGATGAAGTGCATTCAACGTATTCGTGCTCGACAATAATGTCAGCAAGGAACTCAGTGGGATTAAGTAGCTGAGTTTAAACCATATTAAAAGATTATAGAACAAAAATATCGATTAATCGAGGGCTGTTATTTTAAAAGAACTCACTCAAATAAGGGATGTCAACAAATATATAGACTAGAGTTTATCCAAGTCCTTACTTCCAACCATTCTTGTGCTCCTGCCGGCTCCCATGCAGGTAAACCGCCATTCTTACTCTGTCATCAATGAAAATTAAGTTCATCATTGGCCCTTTTGTACAAATATATAATTTAATATTGTGCTTCAGCAATTGATTAGAAGTAGAAATGCAACATTTTAATTAGTTTAATGATTGATATATTTTTTAGGCATAACTATTGTTGGAAAATGGCTTGTTAAGTCATATTAAAAGCCCATTTTAATGCCCATTTTAGAAAGGGGCCTAATTAGATTTTGGGATGAGTCTTGATGGATTTGTGTTCTCCATCATGAGGAGATCGAGATCGAATGTTCATGCACTCAAAATGGATATTGGGTGAATGAGAAATTGATGTTCTAAGTATGTCATTTTGTATGGTTAAGGTAGTTGGAAATTGCAAAAACCCCACATTGGCTAGGAGTAAAGCCTTGGTGGAGTTTATAAGTGATTGCACTTTGAAGCCTAGGTAAGCATGTATACCAAGGAGGCTCTCTCATGCACAGGATGGGTGCGAATCACTGCCCCGGTGGGATAGGGGCCCAATGTGTGCGGACACGAATGCCAGATCGAAAAACCCGCTCCGTGCGGGCTTTATTTTGCAATTTTTATTTTTTAATTCGGCCCAAGACCTTCCAGTCGTTTGGCCTATGCTTATTTCTTAAATGAGCATAATGGTGTGTAATGAGGCTTAATGGTGACTAATGAAGGAAAACTGAAATTTGTCATGGTTAATAAGCTTAATGGCATCAGTTTTCATCATCAAAGTCTGAATCTATGTGAGAAATGTGGCCGGATTTAGCATGAGAAAAACTAACATTTTTTGCTCCATTATAATGCAGATTAATGTGTGTAGGTTAAAAAATTCACACTGCTCCAACAATGTGTGTGTTTAAACATCATAATGTCATGGTCGAATTTAGAGCCTATATAAAGGCCCTACTCGACATGAACAAGTCACACCTTTCTGAATTCTCTTCTCCTCTCTCTCGATTCTCTCTAGTTTTTCGAGTTCTTTGTGCGTTCTCTTTTGTAGTTTGGTTTTTGGTGATAGAGATAAGATCCAAGTTCTAGTTCGTCGGACGGTTCTGATAGTGCTTCGAGCTACCGTCGTTGTCATTGTATCCTGGGAGACGGACGTCCAACGTTACCTCAAGCACTCACCGGAGGGGATGAATCTATTTTAAAGAAAGCGTGGTTCACGTACCACGATATCTTTACAATTCGGTTTCCAAGTTTGATAGAAAGGTTGAATTCGTGTAGTAACTATTTCTATATTTTGATCTTCCTATAAGTTGTTATGAATTGTTCTTCTTTGTATTATCCATATTTTTACTAACAACTATAAGTCATACTTAAGAGTGAGCTATCCATTTCTTTTATTAAAAAGAATTACTTACCTGAAGAGAAAGTATAACATTTACAGCATCATAGAGTCGCTTAGGTTCTAATTTTTCACCAACAATCTCCGGTGGCATAGAAGAGAGCAACAGGCAAGCCTAGATAAAGTATAGGATTTGGTTAGATATATTAAAAAAGAGAACGAATTGAATATATATAGCTAAATTTAAGGATTGACTGAATTAAGTTACCTTTAAACCTTCTGCAGTGCAATCAGAAACTTGCCATCCATGATCTTGATCAGAAAATGTCCATGATCCTTTAGAGATGTGGCGATACATACTTTTAAAGTTGCCCGAAGGATTTTCTTTCACCTGATCATGTTATGCACAGAAATTAGACCCTTCTTAGTCCTTTTAATTAGAAAAACGAATGATTTTGATAAATGGTGCTATAGATGTCAACTTTTTTATTAAAGAAAAGATGAAACCTGAGATTTCTTTATGAAGTCATGACCTTTGGCAAGAGTTGGTCCAATTTCGTGTGTGAGATTACAAGCAAGCAAAGCTTGAACGGCAAAACCAGTATCCCACTCCTGGCTTCCAAAGCTCTGTAGATTAATTATTTAAAATATTAGTTGCATTCTTACTCTTCATGTTTCATGTTCTATTCATGCAAGAGTTTTGCTCTACGGCATGCACGCTAACACTAAGATTATGAATACTATTCAAACTTTGGTATATGCATAAGTGAATTTATCAAGAAAAGTGCATGCAAACCTAAGACATATGTAACTAACAAACACATTGAAAGCTAGAAAGAGCGAGTAATGATGGATATATTATTGATAATGAACCTTATAAATGAAAGAAAGATATTTAGAGGCACCACCAGTGCTAAGCACAATCACTAATAAAAAATGAACTCTATCTGTGGGTCCCACTGAGAACTACCTTTTATTAGTGGATGATGCTCAGACCACCGGTGCCTTATAACTATGCTTTAAATGAAATATTAGGGTAGTGAGTAGAATTACCTGCATCTTCATTCCATCTTCAGCAACCCACAAGTAATCAGGAATCCTTGCAAGGTGCTTTTTAAAATATTCCCCATTTGGATCTTCAACCCAACAAGCAAGCATACACAATACCTAGTTCACATAAGCAACATTAATTATGAGCACCAAAAAGATGTATGGTTTGTAGTCTTGTACAATCTAAGACAGACATTGCTCGGTTTGCTCTGTTACCTTTTCCACACATGCAAGAGTAATGTATCTACTATTTTCATCCTCGTAATGGATATGATCCATTGTCACTTGAAGCGCTCTTTGTCTAATCAATTTGTTTAATGGCCAACGAGAAAGAAGCGGCTCGAAGAAAATATATAGACCATCCCAAAGTAGATCTTGTACCCAAGGATGAGAATAATATAGATCCTCCTATAATAAGATCATATAATGGTTGTCATTATATATATATATATATATATATATATATGCATGTGCAAACTTACAAAGGTATATATGTGCAATATAGATCATTAGTTTGGCTATTGCAATCTCTACTCACTTTTGCACAAAGATGTCGTACTTTCTTCCAATTTACTTCATTGTAAGGTTGAGTATAAAGTTCCTCCCTCAGTTGTAGAATGAGAGGTGTAATTGGACCCATAAATCTTTTCCCGTACAAGTATGACATTGGCATGTATACCATTCTACAGTAGCACCACATTTTAGCTGCATTTTGGGGGAATTAGGAATTGGTCAGGACTTACAAAATTAAGCAAACAACAGTGACATGTGAAAATTTTCTCTTCTCTAAACAAAAGGAGAATGGTCGAAGAATTTTAAACACATAACAGAGTGAAATAATGGTTTATATTATAGATTATTACGTATATATACCTGGATGCATAGGAAGAAAGGAAGGAAGAATCCAAAATTCAGGAGGCATGGGGTTGCTTCCAGCCCAATCAAAGACACCAAGGCTTAGTTTGGTAATGCTGTAGATTTTAAAAAAAAGTGCTTTTAACTGTGCTGAAAAAAAAAGCAGCTGTTTTAAGAAGCGGCTAAGTGTTTGGTAAATTGTAATTATAGTAGCTGTGCTGGTTCTAAAATCAGTAAATAGCGTTTGGTAAATTTTGAGGTGGAATTCTGTGGGTATGTAAAATGACCAAAATAGACATGATATGTAATTTTTATATATATAATTGTTTTTGATATTTAAAAATAGTTGTTTAACTTTAAAAAAAACATAATGTTATGATTTTAAATTTTTTAACAATAAATTTATGATAATTAATTCTCTTTTTTTTATTTCTTTATTCACAATAAAATTACAACTAAAAATAACATAATGATAAATTGTCAATTTTATTAACGCAACCAAATATCATAATTATCAATTTTAGTGGGGTTCTTTTTAAAAATCTGTAAGAAACTTCTGCAAGCACTTTTTTTAAAATCCACAGCATTACTAAACTAAGTCATTATATAAGTTCTTTTCATCTTTTTGATGGAAAATTGACGTTTTACTTCTCAAGACTAGGAAGTAAGAAAATAAAGAAAATACAAGCTTCTTATCATTTAAAAAAAAAAAAAATTGCAAAATGTCTCCAAACAAGTTTGTCCTAGTCCCTTTATGAATGACAAGATGACAGTTGAATAAAGAAATACATAGGAAAGAAAAATAGTTACATCCCTGCATCATCACTCAAACTGTCAAACTGTAAATATTTTTAACGCTAACAATCTTGATGATTCCCTTTGCTCACCTATTTGCACATATCCTTTCTCCTTTTTCTACTTCTCGTTCTAATATTTTTTGTTTAATGTCCGAGTCTTTATTCACTTGCTGAACTTGTCTGGCAATGGGGTTTTCTCTAAAACCTTTGATCAGGTTGGCCATAATATAATTTGTTGAATGACAAAAATGAATACATATCACCAAAAGAAATTATATGGTTCTCAAGGATTTAAATAAGATTCCCAGCCATCTTTTTCTAGCTTATCTGCCTTTAACAAGACATCGCTCCTCGTGTCTTCTTGGTATTGACTCATTCTGCACAAAGTTTATCGCCGCATCAATAACATAAGCAATCAATATAATGACTTTTCATTGCTCTAAAAAAAAATATGTTTTGTTTAACCAAATGGAGAATCTAACCTTGCTACTAGATGGCTGTCACCGACACCCAACATCCTTACAGCCAGCAAACCTGCGTTTGTGGCATTGTTTACAGCAACTGTTGCACCTGGGACGCCCCTTGGCATCTGCAGAATTAATGCAAGACATTTAAGCTATTTTGCTGGAAACACCAGAGACATTGAAAAGCGTCACATTGATACAGAGACTACAAAATCAGACACTACTGTCATGTAGTCATGATTTGGCAAAATATGGCACACAAATATCCATTTCACGGACAAGAAAAGATAGAGAAGAGGGATAATAAAACATTCTAGTAAATGGGAATGTGCTGCTTCTAGGCAATAAGATGCAGGCAACTGGATTTGTGCAATGTTTACCTGCACAATTGATAGGAGTGAATCGATTCCGTCCAATGTAGAAGCACGTACAGGAACACCAATTACTGGCAAAGGAGTAAGCGCAGCTACCATACCTAAAATTCACATCCAGAACTGGAATAATGTTAAAATGAAAAAAAC